TCTTTTTCCCTCCATCTAGTAAAAGGGGCCAACCAGTTCACGTTGTTTACAGTGTGACTAAGGTGTGACCCCCTAGCCAGTGGTACCCCAGCAAGTACAATAATATTTTGGATTCATCTTCCATTTTCATAAATGCGTGAGACTGGCTTTTTTTTGTGGGGAAAAACCATTGGCGTATTATAAATGTTTCTTTTACACACACACACACACACACACACACACACACACACGCGCGCGCGCGCGCGCGCGCGCTCAGGCTCCTAAAATATCAGCGTACCATTGCCAAGCTCCTGAACCGGTCTGGTCCTTTGGCCTTTGAGCCTCTGTCTTGTGATGTGACCCGCCAACACACCCTCACAAACAGTCGAGTGTTAAACAAAACATTTGAAAATTTAGGGGGGGGGTCATGCTACCCAGAGTGTTTACTAACAAACTCCACCTCAACACAGCGTCACCACTACTACTTTTGCCAGTGTCCCAACCTGAACTTCCTCTCCAGTACTCGCTCACCCCTGCGTTCAACACCCTCCCACAACGTTAAGAAGTCTTGTATTCAAATGATGGAAGGGGAGCGGAGGGGAGGGGTTAGGTTACACTATGAAAAACACCGTAAACATTTTCAAAACATCGCCAGTAAAATCCAATATGGATCTAACGGTAAAGCCTGAGAATGAAACATGATATAAGGTACATTAACACTTTTTCTTTCTCCCAACAAAGTGACATCCTTCAGTTCTCTCTGGTGCTAATCTCCCTCCCAGGTGAATCAACATGACTCCTTCTCCAAGAAACAATGTCTACCTTTCCCCACCCCTCTTCCATACAGCCCATCCTTCCCTTCTCTTTACTTAACGTCTGTCTCTCCTCACAATGCATCATAAAGAGTATATATATTTCACCCGGATTCCTCGTATGATTCTGTATAATGATAAGATCTGGGGCAGCCTTCACCACCACAACTGCTTATAAACTAACAAATAACAGTAAAAATAACCTCCCGTAATCAATCACAGTTGATTCATTTGTCAATATATTTGATTAAGAACGACCCCGAGGAGCAACTGTACGCCAGGTGTTATAACGGAGGAGCTAACAAGACGGGCAATGACGTCAGCGATGCCCAAGTGCCCCCAGGTACCTGTCGAAGAACCTGGAGAAAAGGTCACCTCCACACACAGGTGACTTAACATGCCAAGCTCCACACTGTTACATCATGCAGTACACCCTGGGTAGCCTTATTCACGTTCCCCGACCACCAATGACAACAACAACACTAACAACAAACAAATTACTGACAACAAACAAATTACCGGACAACAAACACACAACCCGGATAAAACACAGAGCGCAAAGACAACCGTGTGGACTGACTTATGTGTGATCTAGCCAACACCTCCAGCTGGTTATGACCGCCACTAACACTACAGGGTGGCCAGGCAACATTCCCTGGTTAAGTGTATTGGTAGAGTAAAACTTGTGGTAATGTTTAGATACAGAGAGTAATGGGGCGTGATGGCGCTACTCACACCACCACTCACCTCCTCACCACCACCACTCACCTCACCACCACCACTCACCTCCACCACTCACCTCCTCACCACCACCACTCACCACCACCACCACACCTCACCACTGACTCCTTTTTAATATCTCACTGGTGCCTTTCTCCCCCGCACTGCACCACACCACCTGTTTACATCCACCACGTGATCTCAACTCCTAACTCCTATTTCCACACGGGGTAACTTTTCTCTTCAGCCTCTTGTTACCAATGATGAATATGTAATGAAGATGGTCCCGAGTCGTGCGTCCAGGGCCCTTTTAAAAGCCAAATAAAGCGGAGAGAGCATTGTCGTACACAAAGGGCGCAGGGGGGGGAGGGAGGAGAGGGTGAGGGGGGAGGGAGGGGGAGGGGTGAGGGATGAGGTGTTTCTCTTGTTACACTCAGTAGACCCTAACACACCGTGGCACAGAGACCCTCCTTGTTTACACTGCCGCCGCCTCACTCCCAGCCCCTACCTCGTCTCTCCCAGCCCCTACCCTCGTCTCTCCCAGCCCCCTACCCTCGTCTCTCCCAGCCCCTACCTCGTCTCTCAGCCCCTACCCTCGTCTCTCACCCTCTCCTACTATCCCTACCCTAGTCTCTCACCCCTCTCTCCTAGCCCTACCCCTCGTCTCTCACCCTCTCTCTACCCCTACCCCTCGTGTCTCACCCTCTCTACTCATCCTACCCTTAGTCTCTCACCCTCTCTCCTAGCTACCCCTCGTCTCTCACCCTCTCTCCTAGCCTACCCCTCGTCTCTCACCTCTCCTACTATCCCACCCCTCGTCTCTCACCCTCTCTACTATCCCTACCTCGTCCACTCCTCTCTACTATCTACCCTCGTCTCTCACCCTCTCTACTATCCCTACCCCTCGTCTCTCACCCTCTCTCCCTTCTCGTCTCACCTCTCTACTATCCCTACCCTTAGTCTCTACCTTTCTCCGCCCCTACCCCTCGTCTCTCACCTCTCTCCTAGCCCTACCCCTCGTCTCACCCTCTCTACTATCCCTACCCCTCGTCTCTCACCCTCTCTCCTAGCCCTACCCCTCGTGTCTCACCTCTCTCCAGCCCTACCCTCGTCTCTCACCTCTCTACTATCCCTACCCTTAGTCTCTCACCTCTCTCCTAGCCCTACCCCTCGTCTCTCACCCTCTCTCTAGCCCTACCCCTCGTCTCTCACCCTCTCTCCTAGCCCCTACCCCTCGTGTCCACCTCTCTACTATCCCTACCCTTAGTCTCTCACCTCTCTAGCCCTACCCCTCGTCTCACCCTCTCTCCTAGCCCTACCCCTCGTGTCTCACCCTCTCTCCCTAGCCCCTACCTGTCGTCTCTGCCCTCTCCCTAGCCCCTACCCCTCGTGTCTCACCCTCTCTACTATCCCTACCCATAGTCTCTCACCCTCTCTTCCTCTAGCCCTACCCCTCGTCTCTCACCCTCTCTCCTAGCCTACCCTCGTGTCTCACCCTCTCTATCCTACCCTCCCTCGTCCTCACCCTCTCTCTAGCCCTACCCCTCGTCTCACCCTCTCCTAGCCCTACCCCTCGTGTCTCACCCTCTCTACTATCCCTACCCTAGTCTCTCACCCCTCTCCTAGCCTACCCTCGTCTCACCCTCTCTCCTAGCCCTACCCCTCGTGTCTCACCCTCTCTCCCTACTTCCTCCACGCCTCTCCTCCCCTCCCTGCCTTTACCTCGCCTCTCCTCTCTCCCAGCTCTCACCCTCTCTCTCCCAGGCTTTACCTCGCCTCTCCCACCTCTCCACCCTCCTCTCCCAGGCCTTACCTCACACCTCCCTCTCTCTCCTCCAGCGTTTACCTCACCTCTCACCCTCACAATACTGTCAACAACCGGATGAATCACTACACCCCGTCCTCTACACATACACCCAGAGTATTGATATTGAAACAGGGTGGTAATGGGGTACTGCTAGGTGAGTGTATTAATTGACATCCTCCGCTTCTGTTTACTCTTACAACATCTGACACCATGGTTCCACTGCACAACGTTAGGCATATATAATACAGGTGTGAGGTCTGGTCTGGTCTTCTCTGCCTGACACCATTACCAGCAGGAAGCAACCTGTTCAAACACGTTTCTGCCACCACTAAGTTATAGATCACAATGTCTGCCACCACTAAGTTATAGATCACAATGTCTGCCACCACTAAGTTATAGATCAAATGATGCCACCACTAAGTTATAGATCACAATGTCTGCCACCACTAAGTTAAGATCACAATGTCTGCCACCACTAAGTTATAGATCACAATGTCTGCCACCACTAAGTTATAGATCACAATGTCTGCCACCACTAAGTTATAGATCACAATGTCTGCCACCACTAAGTTATAGATCACAATGTCTGCCACCACTAAGTTATAGATCACAATGTCTGCCACCACTAAGTTATAGATCACAATGTCTGCCACCACTAAGTTATAGATTACAATGTCTGCCACCACTAAGTTATAGATCACAATGTCTGCCACCACTAAGTTATAGATCACAATGTCTGCCACCACTAAGTTATAGTCACAATGTCTGCCACCACTAAGTTATAGATCCACAATGTCCGCACCACTAAGTTATAAGTCACAATGTCTGCCACCACTAAGTTAGATCACAATGTCTGCCACCACTAAGTTATAGATCACAATGTCTGCCACCACTAAGTTATAGATCACAATGTCTGCCACCACTAAGTTATAGATCACAATGTCTGCCACCACTAAGTTATAGATTACAATGTCTGCCACCACTAAGTTATAGATCACAATGTCTGCCACCACTAAGTTATAGATCACAATGTCTGCCACCACACTAAGTTATAGATCACAATGTCTGCCACCACTAAGTTATAGATCACAATGTCTGCCACCACCTAAGTTATGAATCACAATGTCTGCCACCACTAAGTTATAGATCACAATGTGTCTGCCACCACTCAGTTATAGATCACAATGTCTGCCACCACTAGATTATAGATCACACAATGTCTGCCACCACTAAGTTATAGATCACAATGTCACCATACCACTAAGTTATAGATCACAATGTCTGCCACCACTAAGGGAGATGGGGAGAGATTAGAATTGAGGGGATAGAGGAGACTGGGGAGAAGGGGAGAGAGGGGGTGAGAGGAAAGATCGAGAAGAAACGGGTGAGAGAGAAAAGGGGGGTGAGGGGGGTGAGAAGGGAAGGGGGGGTTGAGTACAGAGGCAGAAAGGTCGCACAATAATCTCTCTGGTAAACGATCCGAAATCTTTCTTGTCAACGTGTGGAGTGGACCGAGGAAGGTCACCACCACCCACCCACCCACCCATACATCGATACACTCATTCACCCATTCATCCATCTTTTAGGGGGTTGAAGACGGATGGGGGTGAGCTGTGTCATGGGGTGGGTGAAGTGATTGTTAGAGAGACTCACCTGGTCAGAGCATTTACCTGGACACCCACCTGGTTGTTAGAGAAGGACGCAGCAGCAGTAGTTGCCGGTGTCCTTCTTGCCCGGGTTGACGTTCATCTCGCGGACGATCTCGGCGAACACTTCGTTGACGTTACACCTGTTCTTGGCCGAGGCCTCGATGAAGGGGCACCCCCACATATGCGCCAAGGCCATCCCGTCCGCCGTCACCACCTCCCGCTGGTGTTCCAAGTCCACCTGTGAAAATAAACAACAACGCCTTAGTTACAGATGCCGACACAGGTCAAGTGATTCAATCTCTTACTGCCAGCAATCCTCAATACAAGATAGAATAATGTCTCACTTATTCAACTATCAACACCAAGGCGACATAATTTATAACTAAACCCTCAATTCTTCGTCAACACAACCCGCCGGCCACACACTGTTACTTCTTACCGAATCAACCATCAACTCTCATTAACTCCGGACTTTATTATCTCACTAATTCTTTATTATCAATACACAGACGTGAGATCACCGCCCACCCCCCCCAACCCCCACCCAAAAAAAAAAGATTTCAAACGACCCCATAAACAAATGCTCGTTACCAACACCCACCGTTATGACCAAGTTCACTCACCTGTCACAATTAGCTATTAACGCTTTGGCAGGATAATCCCTCATCAACACAGTCCATCACAGGTACAACAGGTCATAATAATCGCCTGTCAATACATACGACCATACTTACTAACCTAACCTAACCCTATCACGGCACCGAGCACAAATTCATCACCTCATGACAGTATAATAATCTCTTGTCACCACAGTCATGAACGGTATAATCTGCTTAACAGCCCCATCGTTAACACTATGATGGCACATGACAGGATACATACAGGACCTTAACCCCTTCGCTGCCGGGACGAAGCTTTGGGTATTTTATGTGGTTAACGACAGAGTCACCAGAGTCCCCCTCCTATATACTCAGGGGTTAATACCATCAACACTTGGCAGTATAATCCCTCACCACAGATAATAAAGAACAAGAACATGGATACTGGAGAACAAAAACACAAGAACATGGATTTTTGATAATATGAACATTCAGTACAGTACATAGTCAGGAACAGGAACACACATTCCAACTCATCTATACTTCAGAGTATCAATACATACGTGCATGTCTGAGTGTCTGTCCAGGTATACTACCTTACATACCAAATATATGAGTATAGGTCAACAAAGGGTACCAAGTATATGTGCCCAGAAAGGCTACAGGTATACTATATGTACCGAGCACACACATATAGCTACACTACTGTATATTTAGTAGGTACATGTGTAGCCTACAGGTACACTGCCGTATATATATATATTGAGTACAGGTATATAAAAAGTACATCAATACAGGTATCTATGAACCTAGTGACTAAAAAACTGGTAAGCTATATGAGTGGAAAGTATGGTGGAAGGGGAGTGTTGAGTCGTTCTGGTGCCCTTTACAATGTTCATCGGCGCCGTAAGTACACTAGTGGGCAACATAAGTAGCGGGCACCAGGCTACACAAGCACCGCTCTTATCACCGTCCCTCACAAGACTCAGAGTTCACCAGCACCGGGCCCACGCCAGCTGTGGCCCCGCGTTACCAAGTGGCGGACACAGCCGATAAATTGTCTTAACTTGGGGCACTTGGCCCCTAAATATCGGGCCGCCCCACACACGCGTCGCGCCCTGTCCTGGCCCAAGTGTAAATGGCCCCGTGTGGCAAATTCCAGGAGAGGATTTACGTGAGTCGGCCAGCTCCCGTGGCCACGGTTTCACCCGGGTTTCACCTGAGAATAATTATGCAAACACATTACTGGTGCACAATATTACACCAATTTTCTGACATCGGGCAAAATTATTCGCACTTTCGCTGATAACTGATACAAGACCACCATCTTAACTCACTCGATTAAGACGCCACAAAGCACAAAACGGCCACTCCCAGACACGAAGGTTCTCTGGCTTGGCTATTTACACGTGAAGACACCTCACGAAGGACGAATTAAATGTCAACTCCCACAATCCTAAATTCCTCCCGAGAGAGAAACGGGACACTTTAACTGGCACACCCATCAACACCTCACGAAGGATCTACAGTATCATCTCAACTCTACACAAAATACAGTACAGTACATAAGAAAAATGCTCTTTGTATTTCACACACTTTCGTATAGTTCCATACTCAAGTGAAAGCAAATTGGTGTACCAGAGCCACTCACCACTACAGTACACGAGTGGGGGAACGGTGAGTACTAAAACAACTAACAAGGAGTCGCTTTTTTTGTCAATAATCAAATTTTACCAAATAACCCCAATAGTGTTAAGAGCATCACCATGAATCCCCATTGTAAAACTTAACATTTACAAAGTTCTGATCACTCCACAAAGGTCACACAAGGTCAATACGCCGACACACACACACGGAAGACGTCGGATAAAATCTCCACACCATTAGTATCTCAGAGAGTCCCGTTTGAAGAGAGAGAGAGTAAAAAAAACCTAAACTAACAAGTGAACAAACATACATGTAGCCATCATCAATCTTCACCAGACTCTTTTATGTTATCGCCGTGTTCACCCTGGCCCCGCCGCCGCCTCTAAACTTCACTTCCACACTGACCTTCCCACCATCACACGCCGAGGAGGACCCAAACTCTCTCTCAAAATTTAACCCCCTTTACTGGCCCTGAATTAACTATGCCCCCCCCCCTAAAGCGAGAGAATTTTAAGCCACACCCCTCGCCCTTAACACCGCCCTAATTACCGCCTCCCACACACCTATAATTTACCTGGAATTAACTCGCACACAGGAAGCAAAAACAGCTTAGAAGATAAAGGTCTTTCATTCGTGTAAATAAATTCCTACCATTCTTAACTCCCCGTTCTCTTCTCAAAGCGTCTTGCCCGTGGCCTCACAAGGAATAAAACTTCCTTAAACATTTTAGGAGGTACACCCCCCCTCCTTCCACACCTCCCTCTTTCCCTCCCTTCCTCTACGTCCATCATCAGTATCCTTCTCCCTCTTCTCCTCCTTTATTTTATCGTCTCGACATTTACACCAGTTTGTTGTCTTCTACCCCCACACATACCCTCCTTCCTTCCTTCCTTCCTTCCTTTCTTCCCACACCCCTCTCATCCTTCATCCCCTCACCTCGTATTGCAAACCCCCTCTCCTTCACAAGACCTCGGCAGCTCTTCCTCCAACTTACTATGGTGTCACAAGGCAATCAACACCAATCTACAATACGACCACCATCACCACCACCACTACCATCACCACTACCACCACTACCACTACTACCACCACCACTACTACCACCACCACTACTACTATCACCACCACTACCACAAATTAATAGTATTCTTTTCCCCACCGAGGTATACAAGAACCTCTCTGCTTAAAGCCCTGAAACACAGAGGTGGTATAGCGTTACTATTTGCGTCCCTGCTGGCATATTCATCCCCTTCCCCTCCCTCCCCCCTCCTCTTACAACTTCTGGGGGGAGGGGGGTGGAAACTCTTACTAAAAACTAAAGAGAGGGGGAGGGAGGGATAGGAGGGATGGGGTAGGGGTAGAGGGGGTGTGGGGAAATGAAAGGGACAGGGGACAACGAGTATAGAGCGTGGAGGGGTCGACATTGTGCCTATATTCAAGTGGAACTGACCTTCACACTTTGGAGACAATGATTAATTTGTGTTGTTTGAAAGTGTGTGTGTGTGTGTGTACAGTATTGACGTCAAGCAGAGGTGGGAAGGTAGGTGGGTGGAAAGGTAGGTGGGTGGAAAGGTGGGTGGGTGGGTGGGTGGGAAGGTAGGTGGGTGGGTGGGTAGCGTGTCATACTCTCACCACCGGGGTATCGACGACTGAGCTCCACATTATAGATTTCTCCATAGTCTCCCCCACTTCCCCCCCCCCCAGCTGCTACTACTACTACTATCCTTATAGCTACGACCCCTATAGTTACGATCCCCTATGGCTACGACCCGTTATGGCTACGACCCACTATTGCTACGACCCCTTATAGCTCGACCCCCAATGGTTATAAATACTACGATGCCGACCCTTTCATTACGACTACTACTATGACGACCTCTACTGCTACGACTATAACAAGAACGGCAAAAGGTTATCAAAACTCAAGAACTACTTAACCGTCATCACCTCAGTCATGCAAACATGAGTAACAAAAAATAAATAAAATAAATAAATAAATAAAAAAAAATCCCAGCCAAAACGCCTCTAGAACTGTGACAAAAGAATCCAAATCGCTATATAAGTATGTCAAGCCTAACCTGTATCTGTAGTAAGGAATTCAAACCCTTCAAAAGTGCACAAACAGCTACCTAATGCACACACACACTTATGTAAGTAAACTTCAAGCTCTAAAGTACATAGTTACACACACACACACACACACACACACACACACACACACACACACACGGCATTAGTCATGAGAAACCAACATTAAAAAAGACGAAAATATAGAAGGTACTTCAACCCACAACCAACACCATAAATATCTACACAATACAATTTTCAGTAAATCCTCCTTCATATAAATCACACACACATACACACACACACAAGGACTTCAACACCGAGCCCGCCCACCCACCTAAAACAACAAAATAAATCCCACACACATTCCTGTATCAATAACCTAATATAAATCACACTTATACATCCATACAGAGAGGAAGAGTCACGAGAGGGCGTCATTAGGCAGAGGCAGATGACTCTCCCTAGTCTTGGAAACAGTGGAACAAAAGAGGTGTAGGGACATGAGGGTTCAGTGGAGCAGTTCCCCCTTAACCCCGTCGTGCACCACCACCACCTGGCGGCGGAAGTCAGGCACACTGCCCGTCTCACCTCTTACCTGGCACTCAACACACCTCTCGTACACTAACGCTTTACTCCACCACCACCACCACCACTACTACTACTACTACTCCAACCACCACCACCACTACTACTACTACTACCACCACCACTACTACTACTGCTACTACTACTACAGCACCACTATTACCACACTACTACTGCTACTACTACTATTACACCACCTACTACTACCACTACTACTACCACTACTACTACTACTACTACTACTACTACGACGTGGCCTCCAGCCTCCCCCAATAGCCACACCTTCGCCACCATTTATTTACCTTAATATTAAATATCCTAATACATAAGCAACTAT